TAGCTACCATCATCTGTAAATAAATCGTTACTTCTCTTGACCAACACTCGAACTCATAAAAAAAAGAAGAGAATCGTCTCTTTTGAAGATCTCTCAGCCTTGGTCGAAGTGTTAGTCTAGTTTGGAGGACTCTTTTGCCAGTTGGGATTCAAAGGTTGTTCAATACATACTGCTAAATTATACAACCAGTACAGATTTCAAAATTAATTTGAATTTTCTTGAGAAAAAATTAAAACATTGTAGGTCCAATCAAACATATAAGAACTTTTATTCTATAGTTTTTTTCTGTCTGAAACAAATTTGAAGTGATAAGACAAAGAAAATTGGCTGGGATGCACCCAAATAAATATCAGTCATGTGCCACACTGATTGTACTTCTTATCCATTATAGCTCTCACTCAATTATTGCAATTATCTTCACGGTTAAATGAGACGAAAAGTTTATTTCTATTACTTTATAAATGTAAAAACAATGTAAAGCATCAAGAAAACCAAAGTCTAATAATCTCATTGATAATAAAACTAAGAGATAACTGATTTCAAAGTCTCTTTTCGATGATAGGTTTACGAGTGTTATTTTTGGGTTTCCTAAGAAAATATCTACTACAGTTTTTTTTTAAAACAATTTTGCCATCAATGGGAAGGCGTCTGAATTAGATTTATATGGAAAGAACAGAAATGGAAGGTAGGAGAAATTAAGAATTGGCGCAGTGTACGAATGGTCCAGCATTGCACATGGTAATTTGCATATTATTGTATAAATGAAATGCATCTGCATGTGTATATAATGGTATTGTCTTCAATTCTTTGTTCGTGGTTTGGTAAGCTATAGAGTTAGCTGGTTGTGTTAGTTCGAGAATTTCTTCAAAGCTTTTTGTATCCAAAATCAAGCCAATTTATATCGCAAAAAAAAAAAATGATGCATGTAATTAATTTATTGGGAATTCGTATTTTTTGGGAGCCAAAACTTCTATGGTAGTCAACAATTGGACGGCAAACGTGTTTGGTTGTTTGTGCTGTTTTGGTTGGTTTCATCATTTTTTTTTACAACTATCCAGTTTATTTAGGTAAATTGTAAAAACGATTGATGATGTTTTGGGGTTCACTTAAACTTGATCTTGAAGGATTTTAGATAACGGATATCTTGGTTATAAAAATATATCCATGTATTGGAATTTTGGAAAATCAAGTCACCTTCTACACATTTCATTTGAGTAAGTAGTGCTAGGGGTTTGTGTCCACTCGTTTCAAGAACTTCGTATCCACTTAACCCCACAAGATTTAGCGAATCTATTCATATTACTATTCACATTTCGAAAGAAACAAAACGAAATTGATTGTCGAAATTGCCCTAACATATTCCTCTCCCGCCGAAACATTGAAAGGAGAAAGAAGACAAATAATAGCGATTGGACATGGAAAAAGACCAAACATGTCTCGAACTTTCAAAGCTCATGGCTTCTGTTTGTGGAGTTAATTATTGTTACTCTATATTACGAATAGAAGTGTTTTTTCGAAAATCTTTTTTTAGTTGTGAGAGATGAAACGATTCTTAATCAACTATAAGTATTTCAAAGGATTTATAACCATAAACATGAGTACGGAACGGAAATTATTCATTAATATGTCAACTAAAAACATTTTTACAGATGAAAACAACATGCTTTCCATATCACAAGAGAATTTTTATTTAAGAATCTTTTCTAAAGCAAAAAATATTGTAGTAGTTTTAGAACTTCTATAAAGTAGTGGAATTTTTGACAATTTGTCAAACATAAAAGCTTTTTAAAATGTCATTTTTGACAAGAAGAACAAAAATATAATTTAGAAGCATAATTCACATTTTCCCTGGTTTTCTCATTTATAGTTATTATTATACCGTAGTACAATACAATTGCACAAAAACCTTCCAAGGGAAATTACAACTCCGAACAACAACAAACCCAAATACACATAAATCAACAACTAAAAAGATCCAACGTCCACATAGAAACCCAATTACGATACG